CCTCCCCCCCCCCCCCGATGCCCAGAGTACTGGTCATGCCTCCCTATGGTCAGCAGTCTCATCTGCTGAGACCTGGTAAGATAGGTCTGGTGTCTCTGGAGTATCATTGTTAGTGCTCTCCACACTATTAGACATCAGTGGGAGGAAGCTGTAAAGTAAGCCGTCGTCTTCAGGTGTTTGGTGTTTTTTGGTACTGTAGTGGAAGCAGGGAGGACAAGAATGAAAGGGAGAAAAGGACAAAAAAGAGAAGAGGAAGGAAGAATCTGTGTCAACTAACAACTTTCAAATAGTCCCATGTTTGGGAAATCCTCTCGGTGGCTCTGGCCATTAAATATTCTTGACTGACCTTTCTCCACCCCCCTCCCACCCCCTTCTTTTTCAGCCTGCATCCAACTTTTCCCATGCTGTACAGCGGACGTCACAAAATTTCCAGGCAAAATTTGGTGGCGGCTGAGGAAAACCTGCTACAGGATAGTTGAGCACAGCTGGTTCGAAACATTCATCATCTTCATGATCCTGCTGAGCAGTGGAGCTCTGGTAAATTTTACATCATTTCATATTAAGGTTTGTCTAAGGGCAAATGATGTCAGGCTTGTTGCATTCCTCTTCTGGAAAAGTCTTGAAACCTCTTGCTGCTTATTTCTCTGAGGATGTTGGTTTGTCGTGCCGATTTGTAACGTCACTAGCTGTTCCTTATGGAGATATTGGTAAGAAATTGAAATGACAGAATCTTTCACTCTTACTCCTATGGGAGCAGCTGGAGTGGACCCGTGGAAACCACACACTGTGTGAAGAAGGGCGCTGAGGGTGCTTAATATGAAACATTTGTCATTGAGGTTATCTTCCTCAAGGGTTGATTTCTTGAAGACCAGACTGAAGGAAGGCGGCGAAGCTGAATTTCACTAGCTAGGGGGAACAAGAGCTGTTTCTTACATCATCACCCAGACATCCCTTAACCATGAGGTTCATGGACAGGCATAGGGACATGTCATGGACAGGTCATAACTACCCTCTTTTTTCCCTAACAATGAAAGTGAATGTAGGGATCTCAAACTTGTGTTTTCTTATTTATAAGCTAATTATATTGCCAATCCATTATGTTATGTGTGCTTTACGCATGTTAGTTTTGTTCCAAGTATGTTATATGCTTATGCATTAGTAACAACTTTCAGAGGTATAGCTACATGGCTGTGATAAGGTGTAAGCCAAACTTCTAGCATACTGCTACTTATGCTAAGCTGATACCACACTATAATGACTGTGGGATTCAGGAGCGAAAAATACCCCAAACACAGGACCCAGTGGCTGATTCTGTTGATGTCCAGCAGCCATATCCTTCCTGTCAAGAACATCTTTGGGCTTGCTCAAGTGTTTTGTTCAAAACTAAAGCATAAACTGGATCTGAAAATAGTGCCTGATATGAAGGCAGGTCTTTATAGCACTTTATATGCCAATGCTTTGATCAGCTGCTGCAAAGGAAATGTAGTACCTTGACATTGGATCTTTCCAGAAGTTTAGTTTTTCCTGTTTTTCAAACACCTTTAAGCTCATTTCTGAGTGCCAGTGGGGTTTTAGTGTAGCAAATAGCAGCGTCTAAAAAGTTGGCAGAAAAGGAGGAGGGGAAATGGCTTTAAATAGTTTGTTGTTATTTTTTGCGGTAATTGCAAAGTGCTGCAAGTCATCTGACAGAGTCAGTGACTCCCTACAGACTGTGACAAATTCCAGTCTGTTTGCATATTGGTTTTCTGTACTTTTCTCTGACAGTTATTTTACACCTTCAAAATATTGTTTTTGTATGGAGAGTTATGAGACTGGATTCTAGTGAAAATGCCACCCCAAAACACAAAGGCTATACATGAGCCTGTCCATAGACTGCTAAAGCTTTCTTGTTAAGTTAAATTACTATGTCCCGGCAGGCAAAAGACCAGTGTGACTATGTGCATGTCAAGTCACGCAATTCTTTTTTGTAGGTTTGGAATATTTGTTAATTTTTCAAGATACCTTAGAAAGTAACTGCCAATTTTTAAACATTTAAATGCAAATACTGAAGATAACTAGCATGGATTCTTCTAGTAACATTGCACCCTGTTGTTCCCTAGTGCTTTGTTTGACACTGGTAGGGCAAGAATAATGTAATACAATCCTGGTTTTCATCAAGATTTCACAACACCCGAGTAGTTTGGAACAGGGCAGCTTGAGTTATCGAGGGGAACTGGACAGCAAGCCATTCTTTGGTTGAGCAACACCAAGCCAAGTCAGATATGAGAAGCTTTCATCACTTCAGAGTATCAGGGTCCTTCTGCAGAGTGTCTATTTAAAGTAAAGTTCATTTAAAAATCATTTCTCAGAAAAAGTAAAAAAAAAAAAATTAGGAACTCAATCCTCTTTGTTTATTTTACCTTGGCATGTGTAATACCTTATATCTTAGTCACTTTGAGAATGGGGCTATAATAGCAGTAGGTTGAACTCATTCAGTGCCACAAAGGTATAGGTTGTAGTCGTGTTGGTCTAAGGACATAGGCAGACAAGGTTCTTTGTACCCTAAAGCTTGCAAAGAATTTTTCCAACTATTTGAGTTGGTCTAATGAAAGATATCATATTTACCCAGAGAAGCTCGTCTGTTCAATGCCACAACACACTTTCCCCCAGAGACCTCAGAACATCTTGCAAATGCTAAGTGAGTCCGTTGCCTCTCCTGTGCAATTAGTTTGATTAGTCATAATTTATAGACATGAACAAGGGAGAAATCACTTACCCAAGTTTACCCAGCAAGTCAGTTCTGGAACAAAGCATGGAACTAGGAATCATAGTTATCTATTCCAAGGTCTCTTCCCAGAGTGACTGGTACATACAATGCTTTGAGAAAGACGACGGGTGTAAAAATACCTGGGAATGCAGCTAAGTTCCATTTTAGATGAGAACAAATATTAGGTTCAGAATATGTGTGAGCAGAATATTTGTACCTGTCTGAAATATGATTACTGAATCAGGCCTGGAAAACAAAGGTGCTTAAACACATGCTTAGTCATCCCATTCCCAATAAATAAATGACGTAAGTTTGTGTTCAACTTGAGATCAGTGGGAGTTTGCTATATGCCTAGAGTTAAGTGCATGCTTAAATTCCTTGCTGAATCCATGAATTGGTTGCACCGTTGCAATTCCTTTAAGGACAATGGGGTGCTGTTGGGGTAGAAATGAGCCTGGACTACTGTTCTAGAAATCATGGAAAAGACACCTTTTATTAAACAGAGTGATCCAGGAGAACATTTCAGAAGAACCTGCCAGCCCCTCACTGTCTAAGCATTTTTCAAATGAGAGTAATTTATTTTGTGCTATGTTTGGTTGATTATTTTTAATCAAAAGTAAAAAGTGCTGATTTTCAAAAGCATGTGAAGGTATTTGGGAGCAGAACTCCCATTGGCACGAATATAACATTCATGCTTCCAGTCTCCCTGTATTTATAGCCAGCTCACCCAGAAGAAATAGCCCCATTATGTAAATAATTATATCTCCACTTGCACAACTAGACACAATTTTAAATATCTTCATAATGAGCAGATGCATTAGGGGAAGCTGCTATTTAACATATACTTTAGCTGTGACTTCACATCAAACAGTGCTACACGTGCAGAACAGAGCACTAACTTTTGCCACCGTAGTACTACAGAGCTTATTGCAAATCAGTGCTTTGTACTTCCAGGCATTTGAAGATATCTACCTTGAAGAACGAAAAAACATTAAAATCATGTTGGAATATGCTGACAAAATGTTCACCTACATCTTTGTCCTGGAGATGCTTTTGAAATGGGTGGCTTATGGCTTCAAAAAGTATTTCACCAATGCCTGGTGTTGGCTTGATTTCCTCATCGTAGATGTAAGTATCACTTTGGAAATATTATGTTCCTTGTCTTGGATTATATAGCTTACGAGAGCCTTCTGTTCCCTCTGGCAGTTCTTGCACTTGCAAAGTCAGAGGCATCACTCTGAGTGTAAAGATCAACCTGACGTAAACCTAGAAGTAAATGGTAAGATTTAGCGTGTGACTGAGAAGTCTCAGGAATTAATGAGCTGAAATGGAAAACAGCTTTGTATCATTATGAGGAGGTGTTACTCTGCTAATTTAAGTCACACTCCATTTTCACCTCTCCGGGCTCACTCTTTCTCCTAGCATTTCCCATCTCATTCCACATGCCAGTTTAGCACAAGGTCTGGTTACCTCTGACTGTGCTGCACATGACCTCGGCACACAAGTCTTTCAGCAGATTAGAGAAGCTATCCTCGGCATGGCTTCCTAGGGAGGCTGCCAGAGATGTATAACGAAACGTTCAGCACCATCTCCCAAGAATTTACAAGCGAAGGAGTCCAAGAGACGAAGATACGAAGCGTTTCCTTCTGCTGAAATGGGGTCACCATTACAGTCTTATAAAATAATCCAATTCCTTCATACCTTTGAATACTGAAAATTGTCATTCTTAGTTCCCTTGAGAGGGCAGACATTAAAAGTAAACAGAAAGGCAGAATAAGGACCAATCTCACACTACAAAAATGTTGTTAGATCCATATTTGTATTAATTGTTCCTCAAAAATTCAGAGGGCTGGGGGTGCCGGTAGATGCCAGATGTGAAAACTGTAGACATCAGAGTGCTTGGATGTAGGGTTTTAGCCCTTACTTCTATTTATGAACATGACTGTTGAATTAATTAAATGCCAGGATCACTGTGCTTGAAGTGTCTTTCTGTGAGATGGACAGGAGCAGCTTATTACATTCTAACAGTAATGGCTTAACACAGGCATTTTTCTCTTTGACACCATCTTTTATTAGCTTGATGTATTGGTGTCAAATGCTAGGGATGCTCTGCACACAAGTGTCATTAATTTAATCTCTCATAAATGATGTTTTCCTATTTTACACCTGAACCTCAAGTCTAGGGATGATATTTTCTTTGGCCTCAGTCCAGAAAAGCACTTCACTGGGACTACTCATATGGTTAAAATTATACACACACACACACACACACACACACACAAGTGCATTGCTGGATTAGAGCCTTTGGCTGCATCCAGATGTTCATTTCTACCAGAAGAAATTTCTACCAGGAGCTGGACTGTACAGGAGTTCCTCTAGCCCCATAGATGGAGAGCTTCCCAGGCTTCCCAGAGCCACTCCCACCCTTAGGGGAGCCCATTAATTGACAGCCTACTCTCTCCCAGTCTGGGAAGGAGGTAGGCTGTCAAGTGCAGTTGGAAGCTGCTGAAACCCTTTCAGTTCTACCCTGCAAGAGAATAGCCCCTGATCCTTGCACTTCTCTGGGATGACCTGAAGGAGTATAAGGAGAGGTGAGGAGCACTCAGCCACTGTGGCCACACTCTCGGGGCACCTATACACAAGGAGTGAGGCTGCTCTGACACGCTGTAATTACAGCACATTGGAGCAGGCCCGATTAATTGAGTGTGCTGAAGCGTGGTCATTACCATTCTCCAACAGACTCCAACATCTCATGTATCAGCGTCCCTATGCTTAAAAATGGCAGCAGGGCGCTTTAACTAAAGCTTGTCAAATGAGCTTTAGTTAAAGTGACCCTGCCACCATTTTTAAGCAGGGGGGAACACTGATACACAAGGTGCTCTTGGAGCTTCTCTAATTAAAGCACCCCCGCCTGCACACTCCCAGAGCACATGTATAAATACCCTGGGAGCTTTGCCACAGGGGCATGGCAGCCTGCCTCCCCCTGCACTTTCTGGGTTGACTCAAGGTCATGCAGGGTGAGGTGGGGGTATTTCACCACAGTGGCAAGGCTCCCAAGCCTTGCTGCCATGACACAGCAGCCTGCCTCCCCCTGCCCTGTGCTCTGTCACCTGGGCAGCAAGGGGAAGCCAGCAAGTTGGGAGTGGGGCTTAGGGAAAACCTCCACATGCCAACCTCCCAGCCACACTGGCTTTTCCATTACCCCCCCCCACACACACACACTCAGCTGAGCAGCAGGGAGGGAGCAAAGGGAAGCTGAAGGGGCGAGGCACCAGGCTTGAGAGGTTTCCCCCAAGCCCAGCTCCTGGCCCCTCTGGCTTTTACATCTCTGCCCCCACAGCTCAGCTGAGGGGCAAGGGGAAGCTAGCATGGTGGAGAGGCAGGCCTGCAAACCCAGCTTCTAGCCACACTGGCTTTTCAAACACCCACCCTGCCACTCAGCTGAGCAGAGCAGGAAGACTAGGGGAAGCTAGCTAGAGTTCAGGCTCTCAGTGCAGATGTTCAGTCTCCTGGGAGAAACTCTCCCTGGAGGGATTTAACCCAGGATGTTCCTGGGTTATTTTTCTAATGGAATGGCCATTTTTGCTCTGGGAGAAAAAGCCTGAATGTCTGAATGCACACTTTTGTTTTCTAGTGGAAGAACAGTGATTTTCCCAGTAAAAACTGAACATCTGTACATGGCTTTTGAGAGCAACCCAGAGCTTTAATCAATTGATTTTTTAAATCAGTACATAAATTGTGAATCTTAAATTATACTCCTCTCTCTTCCTCATGTGTGCTATTAAAGGGAAAGAATGTATTTTTCACATGATATTTTTCACATTTTTCAGCATGGTCTAGTGATCTCAGCCCATGCTTGGAGCCACTAACTTCAGAGGCATCATCTCACCTCTGACAATTACTCCCATATGTGGCTCTGGTCAAATCACATAATGTTACCCAAATGGTTTCTTCATTTGCATGAATGGAGCTAATAGGAATTACCTGCCATACCTTCTGGGAAGTCAGGGGCCTGGTGGTTATAGTGCTGATGTTTGTAATAGTCTTTTGAAGAGGAGAAGTGTCACTTGAGTGCTAAACATTCTCAGTACTATGAATAAGAGGTCTTGGTAACAAGAACAGCAAGTCAGTATGCAAAATGCATTGAAACTATTTGGCACTAATATTATACTTCGTTATAAACAGCTTCAAGTGAGTCCACAAATGTTATAAATACATATAGTGTGGCATTTAATTATTACCAAAGGGGCATGAGTTAATATACAAAACCTCCATTTACAAAATACCCTTGAATGGGCAAATGCAGAACCAGAATCTCACTTTACTCACTGAAAAACTGTAAATTGTTCATGAGCAGCATACTGGTATTCAAAATTCGAGCTGCATTGGCTCATTGCACATGTGCAACCATTTATCATCTATGCTTTCCAGTTGTTCCAGTGTAACTCTTTAAATTGGGTTTCTGGTGTGTGACGAGTTCCAAATTTGCAAATATTCTCTAATGTTCACATAAAACTTAATTTTTATGAGCACTTCTGTCAATAAAGTAGCTCATGAAAACCTGGAAGGGAAGTGAACATAAAGAAATATAAAGCAAATACATTATTAAAGCAAATTGTTGCAGAAATGTTTTGAGGTACTTATCCAAATCTGTGACAGACCTTTGACACTAATTTGTGCCTTTGGAAAAGCGAACACTATCTCATAATTGTACATTACTAAAGTAGATTTTGGATTGCAAATCCCAGACATTAAAAATACGCAATAATCTACTAACAGAAAGCTATTTTCACTAGCTATAGAATCCCTGCAGGATGATCTCTGATAATGGACCTCATTCTACCTCAGAGGAATGTGTCAATTTAGCAAAAGGATAAAACAGGGCTTTTAAGCTCATTGCAATACAATAAGATCATGTTAACAGTACCACAACAGGCTTGAGTGGGGTGGGGCGGGGGGAAGATTGTAACTAGAGAAATGCATGCTCATTAAAACTAAGGACTGGTAGGAAAGCCCCCATTGTGAATCTGCTTGAATACCACACATGCTTACCAAAGATATACACTTATACAAGAAGTTGCCTGCCTAGCAATTTGCAAGTATACTGCTAAGAGAAGGCCAGTCTGTTCCAATCCATATCAGCGCAGTGAATAGTGATGTTTTTATGCCCAGGAAGCAGGGTGATAGATTTGTAAACCCATGGTTATGATCAAGCATGAAAATGCAAAGAGCTGGTAGCGTGTCTGAAGCTTGAATGGACCTGACTATCACTGTTATTTGCACCAGAGAGAAGGAAACAGTCATGCACAAGTACCTGAGGATATACATGCAGGCAGTTACAAAAGAAGAGCCATTTGCCAAACATACATACAAATGAAATCCTGTTTACACACACACAGCAGCTTAAACTAGGAGCATGAACATGGCCAAAGCTAGGAGCTGTGTGGAATTCAAGCTGGCCATTATGAGAGCTGTTTTGGGCAGATTCAACCAGCTATGTGGTTTGATATCCGGAAGGAGCTGGGATCTAATACAAACCCTAGGTTAGGTAGCTCTGATCTCTTGCCCAATCTCTGTTGATACTGGTTAAGTCATTCCATTACTGGCAGGTTGAGAAGAGGTGGCAACCTAGAGCTTGATATCATACCAGCCATGGAGGTCTTCATTCAATAACTTTGGTGCTAACCACCCCCAAGGGGTCTTTATGTACATCAGACAAGGGTGGAGGGGTGAGAATAGAATACTTGGGGAAGAGGAGCAATTGCTCTCATCTACGTCTAACATGCTCAGTAAGAAAAAGAAAGCAGTCACTTTTTCTGCTTGTTTGCAGTTCGTTCAGGAAAAACCTTGAGTATACCAGCCTGGCCATGCAACCTTCAGCTATCTTTAGGAGAACATTAACCAGTCAGCACCAATGCAGCTTCTGTGTTTTAGTTGTGAATTAGCTGTGGTGAAAAACTACAGGTGATTCCAGACATTGCTGGAGTCAGACGTGTGATAACTGGAGACATTGCCTCTGTCAAAGGTGTTTTCTCGAGCAAGGAGCTCGCAGTCTCTTGTCTGAGACTTGTTCATTTGGGTATTGCCAGTCTTCTCCAACAACATTCCCAGTGCATTACATATCTACT